ACAAACCCAAAAAAAAACCCATACCTTGCAAGTATTAGACAAAAACCAAATTCTGAAAATGTACACACAATCCAACAAAAATATATATATATATAAACCAAAGCTTTTGCTGGGCCACCAAGTGGAGCAGGAGAGGAGAGTCTGCACCGGTCAGGGCTGGGGCACGGCCAGGAGCCCCCTGAGCCCGGCGCTGGGGGCAGAGGAGCTCAGAGCTCAGAGGCAGAGGCAGGAGGAGCTGAGCCCCTGGGGCAGGCAGCACAGAGCTAGCACAGGCAGAAGCTAAAGGCAGAGTCTTGCCCATCTCCCCTCCCCATGGGCCAGTGGGGCCAGAGGTGCCCCCTAAGCACACAAATCGACCTCCTCGCCCTGGGGCTGGGACTGTTCGGCACAGAAATAAACCCCTGAGACGTCACTGACTGACCCTGCACTCCCATCAGGTCTACATTTCTGGGACCTGCTGTGCAGCTCCCTGAAAATACACCTCCAAGCTCCAAACTACCCCGAGCCTTGTGCCTGAGAGATGTGCTCCCCATCCTTGCTCTGCCAGGTCCTCTCCTCCCATGGCATCACACCTACCTGCGGCACAGGGACAAAACTGAGACAAGACCCGTCCGAAGGCAAAAAAAAAGCGCTACCACCTCTCCCAGCAGCTGCAAACACCACCCTAACACTCACCACCTCCAGCCTTCTCTCCTCAAACCTGCACAGGCTACAGTGCCTGGCATGGTCCCCCCCAAAAAAACCAATTCCATTGGCCTTTCCGAGCAAGTCCAGGGGGAAAAACACATTAAAACTCCCCCCACATGTACAGAACAGATTACCTGAAAAAAAAAAGCCTCAAATCCTTCCACCAAGTAGCTTGCTGAGTATATTTCTTTCTAATATTGCTGTGGCTTCTCTGGAGGAGTGGCGAGTCTGGCTCTGCTGCTAAGGCAACAACCTGCAAGGCCACGGTTGAGGTAACGGGAGAGTCAGGAAAGTGTCCCCTGTGCCTCGGGACGTGGGAGTTGTCTCTGGCCGTGCTCCCAGAGGCTGGAGGAGGAGTGGGAGAAGGCAATCCGAGAGCAAGAAAGGTTTGAAGGAAGAAAGCACTTAGTAGGTTTCCTCTTTAGTTTCTCAGATCGATGTATTTCTCGCTCTTCGGTTCGCCCGGAGAGACAAAGAGAGAGAGGAGGGAGAAACAAGTAGTTAGGGATGGACACAAAAATCAGGTCTCTACTGCAGGTGTTAGTGATAGATCTTGGGCCACCCAAGGTGAAGGGAGGTAAGAGCTGTGTGGGCAGCAGAGCAGGGACAGGTTCTCTTTTAGCAAATAAAGCTGCAGTGGGCTCAAGTGCTGCATCCTGTGGTTCCACAGGACACAACAGCGTGGCAGACCCCGACTCGGCACGGTGCTGGCACTGTCACTGGGATGAGCTGCTCTAGCCCCTGGTGGCTCTGTCCTGGGCGACAGGAAAGCACACGACCCAAGAGACTCATCACATCCCGAGAACTGCGGCTCAGAGACGCCGGAGCAGAGCCCATTCCTGCAGCCTCTGCTCCGACTCCCGCCCGGGGATGTCTGTGCAATTCCTTCTCCGGGGAGCACGGAAGGAAAGCCGAGCAGTGGGCACTGTGCCCCAGTCCCAGGAGGTGCCAGGGGCTGGCGCCGAGCGGAGCCGCGC